GATATAAAGTTTTGAATCATCTACATAAGATTCAACGTTACAAGTCTGGCAGACTGATGGTAAGTCGTTTATGTAGAGATTAAACAACAGGGGTCCCAGGATAGACCCCTGTGGAACTCCATGTTTGATTGGTAAAGAATCCGAAAGAGAGTTTTGAATACGTACGCATTGTGTTCTGTCAGTTAAGTAGCTTTGAAACCAAGCCAAGGTTAGATCAGGAATATTGAACTTTCGTAGTTTATCTAGCAATCTCCGATGGTCAATGCTATCAAATGCTTTACTCAAGTCCAACATAAGAACGGCTGTCACCTTTTTCTCGTCGATAGCCCTGTAAAGATGACTAGTGAACAGGATTCCCAACGTTTCCGTTGAATGGCATTTCTTATTTCCACTCTGGTGATCAGAGAGCATGTTGTTGGTTGTTAGATAATCAACAAATTGGTCATGTGCTAGTCTTTCCAAAACCTTTGACATTACTGGTAGTAGAGAGATGGGACGATTATTACCGGCTACTTCATGGTCCCCCTCTTTTAGATGCGCCACTACCTCAGCATGTTTCCAGTCCTTCGGGAAACATGCAGTTGAAAGTGATGTATTAAACATGTCTGTAATTACAGGTAAGATGGAAGGGAGACACATCTTGAGAACTTTCATACCAACTTTATCATACCCCGGAGCCTTGTTTGTCGGCATATTCATGATGATGTTTCTTACTTGTTCCTGTGTAACGCAATTGAACAGAAACGGGGCAATGCCATCCACGCATTCCTCAATGATAGAATTGGTAGGGGCAACAGCTTCTAGTTCGTAGTCTATAGCCAATTTCTGGGCTTGTTTTGCAGCAGCTTCGCCAACTGATGTAAAGAACAGATTGAATTCGTTGGCAATCTCTGTACAGTCGCGTGAGTAAGCGGTGGTTGAATTACCGCATGGGTTTAAGCAATGTCGGACAGTTTTCCAGATGGATGTCTTGTTACTCTTGTTCTCACTGATTTCATCTTTCACTAACTGGATTTCTGACAGCATTATCTTCGATTTAACCTCTTGTCGTAGGCCTCTGTAACGCTCCCAGTCACGGGGATTAGATCTTTGATGTGCACGTTTCCGCAATCTATCACGTTCACGCATTAAATCTCTGATCTCAGGAGTTATCACCTTGGATTTGCGATATTTAGATTTAAACGTTTTTACGGGGGCATGCTGTTCTAAAACATCTTGAAAAAGATTATTGAAACAGGAGACCTGATCGTCAGTGTGGTCAAAAACCGTGACGGTATCCCAAGGGATCTTTGATATATCGTTACAAAAAGCGTCTGCATTAAAGTTCTTATAGCTACGAGTTGTAATTGTGACTGGTTTTGTTCGAGGCATTTTCAGGTTCAGTGTAGAGTAAACCAGAAAATGATCGCTAATAGTGATGCTAAGAACGTCAGATTTCTTGACAAGGTCTACATTGGAGGCAAGTATAACATCAATAAGCGTTTGCGATGTCTCAGTTACTCTTGTGGGAGATGAGATCAGCTGCGTAAGATTTAGAGTTGAACACAGGTCTCTTAGAGCGCAAGATTCGGTGGAGTCAACGAGTAAGTTGCAATTTAAATCTCCTGCTACTAAAATATCTTTGCCGAGCATAACTGCATGGGTGTAAGCTGCGGTCAGTTCATTTCTGAGACAAGAGACAGGTGTATCTGGTGGACGATACGCAACGCAAATTACAAGTGACTTTAGTTTCTTATGTTGAAGGCTTAGCCAAAGCTGCTGGAAACCGCACTGGGATGTTTTCGTGATGTCTCGGAGCACCCTAACTTTCAGAGAGTTTCGGATATAGGCGCATACACCACCTCCAGCTTTCTTGAGCCTGTCTAATCTTATAAGTTTATATCCATCAATGCTATATTCTTTGTTCTTAACAGTAGAATTAAACCACGTTTCAGAAATTGTGAAAACATCAAAGTCACTTCTTAAAATAAGATCATTGACCTGGTGAAATTTCCCACGATCTTTCAGCGAGCGTATGTTGAGATGGGATACTTTGATACAGTGTGGCTGTCCGCAATTGCCGATATTTTCATTAACACGGTTTAATGGTCTCAGTAAGCGGGTGTTAATGGTTATGCCGTTGTAATGACTAGCTGGGGGGTTTCGTTTCTCTCGCGTAGTAATTCTTACGGATATCTGCTCAACAGCATTTTGTTGAAATGGTCCTGGGTTTTGTTCAATATCCCCACTCAGTATTAGTCTCTGTGATGCAGTGGAGTTGCTATAATAAGCAACCGGTCTTTTACACCGTTTGAGTTTTAATCGTAGAGCCTTGGTAGCATTCAGTGTTATTATATAAAATGTACACCGACATGTTTGTATTTGTGCGTATTCATGCGTATAAGTTATGCAAATTCGAGCTGTATTTTGTTTGTTCAAATCATCTTCGAGTTTGCAATCAATGCTCTGATAAATTATTTTAACTGTTTTTTCCAGTCGAAAGTAATGGTTAGGAGCATTAATAGTCATTTCCATGATGGATTTACACGACAGAAGTAAACATACTGACCCGTGATTTGTACACTTGATTAAGCTCAAACATAGCCAACGCTGGAACAGATTACCAAATTCAAACTGATTTCGTTGCTCACACGCCGTGTTAAAATCATCTTTAAGACATCGCATTGACACACGTTTGACAGACAAACCCTTGTTTGCACAATATCCCAGGCCATCAGGAAGATAGTTGTCTGCTTTAAGAAGTACACAAACCCAAATTAAAGTAAACAAAATTTGTAATACACGGAGCAAAATAAAACCGGCCGCCATTACATTGCAGGCACAATTGGATGTGGCACTTAACCAAGAATAGCATTTAGGCACTTAACCAAGAATAATTCTGGAAGCTCTATAACACTGTCTGTTATTGGTGGTGGACAATCGAAATTTATTATCAAGGAAGCATCATCAGGTTTGCGAATGGTATTTAGCGCTGACATTTTTGTTGAAATCTTGCTGGTTGTATCACACCCAGTTAGTGCATGGAGTGCTGGAAGACATTTAAGTAAATCTCTACCAAGGGTTGTGCATATTTCATGGAGGGGTAAAATGGATCGTTTCAGACCTGAGTTACGAATAAGCCAAAGTTCTGTGAGGTCTTGATAAAGCCAATTAATTGAAAGATGGTATAACAAGCATACGAAGACATCGGTATCGCCTGACAACAAGGTAATTGAGGTAGGGTCATTTCGGTGACATAAAATATCCTGTATGTGAAACATCATCCGATCGTCCGCTTCTTCGTGCGTGCAATCCAGACGAGGAAACGGTAAAACACTTCCACTTGAAACACGCCACGCCTTTGGAGATATGCCAAGATAAAGTGCTTTATTCCCTTGGTAATTGGTAGTAAGCCACTCAACGTAGAAAGCCGTTTTGCTGACGGAGGAAGCCCAGAAGTTTTCTAACACAACTGGAACTTTCTGATTCGGGGATATAACATCAAGCACAACCATTTATTTACACTTACCTCTTCTCTTCCTTTCCACATTCTTTATGATGTCTTCTTTATAAGTATCGAAAACAATGTGGATCTCTTCACAGTTGCGAGCGGTGTTGGTGATCATAGCGGTCAAGGCAACGGCAAGATTGTGGAATGTCTTCACAGGTGGTTCAAGTTTCTTCAAGGGGACTTTTCTAACCAAAGCCATAAAATCGATTATATACGCGTTGGTTGATGGAGTTGTTTCTTGCTCTTTGGGATTGATTTGTGGACACAACTTCAATAACTCAGATCCAAGTTGAGATTTGGTGCTCTTCCTCAAAAAACCATCTTTGTCAACCAAAAAGAAAGCTGAACTGGTAATCTCATGCAGGAGTAGCTCTTCAACAGTAAAGCCACGGTGACGTGCATATTCTACATACATCAGAGCCTTGATCGTTTCTTCTTTGATGTCCAGTTTGGAAGTCAAACGCGAGGTTTTCTTTGAGGTCTTGAACTTGATTCTGCTAATGGTTGAATGGATAGATGTTGTCTTGCTTCTTAATCGATCTTTTATAAACTTAGCATAGGCATCTGTTCCTTCTTTAATGCAACATAATAGCATATCCACGTTCACTTCGGTCACGATTTCCCCTGTTACGACGTTCTTAAGTGTGTTCTGATCTAGTATTGAACCACATACTTTTTGAAGATATGTATCTATTTCCTGAACCATTGCAGAAATCTTTGTTGCGGTACTCTGGATAAAGTCGTGATGAAGTGACAACTCTCCTTCGACATCTTCTTGCATCTTTAGAAGATGAACATACTGGTCTTTCTTGTGTTTGATGATGTCCCACAAAGACACTGCGTCTTTCTTTCTGGTCACCCCAATTATGCCGCCACTAACTTTTGCAGGTCGGTTTTAACACTGTTCCAGAGCTTGGTCGAATGGAACTCCACTCCCTTTCCTGTTACCGTTCATAACAAATCCACCATCTATGTATGATTTGTAGAGGAGAGGAAACTTATCTTTCAGTTGATAGCAGTCTTGTAGAAACATTGGTGTCCATCTACAGTAGTTTGTTCTGCCAAAGAAGAAAAACAGTGAAGTTGCTCTTTCAACAGCACTAAGGTACAGTGTCCAGTCTCCAGAACGCATGGAATTCGTAAGGTCTCTTGCTATTGGGTAAAGGTCGGAGACATACGTGTTCCAAAAAGCGAAAGACTTGGATTTCGAAGAAATTTCTTTTAAGTATAGCTCAAAGTCTTCTTTTATGGCTTCAACTCGTTCTTTCGTGGCATTCCATACTTCACTGCCAAAGTTAATGGATTGAAAATCAATCACGAATCCCTCGACTTCCATTTTTTTCTCTGGGTTTTCCGCCATAAACTCTTCAAACATCATGGACATGAGCACTTCATGTATTATTGAATGGGCAGTGCGAGCTCTAGAATAATGGAACCGGAGATTACGCTGTTAATGGTATCTGGTCCATAACACTCGGTCTCGACTAGAACAGAAAAAATCCCTGATGGTTCCAAATATGCACCAAGACACGGAGGACAATCTTTTCCATATGAAATCCCCCAAGGCCAAGGAATATGTTATTGAACTGTTCTGGTTTTAGAAGCTGTATTTCCTTCGCAATACGATAAACACCCTCGTCAGCCCATAACCCACCGTAAGAATCACCTTTCTGTTTCAAGGCATCTTGAAAGTTGATCATTGTGGTTAGTATTGCATCGTATGTGGTAGCTGGATATGGAAGGATTGGAGTTAAAATTTTTGTGGTAGCATGGAAATTCAAGCTCACGGTGGAACTTCTCAAGGTTGTAAATCCCGGGACATCATAGCTCATCTCCGTTGCCTTTCCATTTAAGCAGTTCACCAACCAAAGAAAGTAGTCCAAGCAAATCGATTTCATTGATTGTTTGCAAAGGCTTATTGATGAAACCGGGTTTGTTGTCGTTGAAGATGAATCAGCTGACGTTCCGGTGACGGTTGATGTTTCGACCACATTGAAATTATGCATATCGCCTGTTGCTTCAACAGAAAGCTCTAAAATTGCCGCAGAAGTGTTTTGATCGTCACATGTTACCAAGGTGGATTCTGATGTTGAGGTGCGCCAGTTGCAGGTGTTTCGGAAGTTGAAGGATCGTTTATTTCTGTAAAGGTTGAATACGGATTGAAAACGGACTCCGATACTTCGAAATTCTTGCCTATCTCTCCACGTTCTTTCATTGCTGCCATTCTGATAAGCTGTTGACAACGGACTTTAGATCTAAGCTTTACTGTAGTCCTACTCTGAGCAGAAAGAGGTCTCGCCGATATATCACTTTCGTCTGATGGATTTTCTTTGCTGGTTGGGACATTTTGGAAAAGAACAAGAATGGTGTTGTGTGTGGAACCTGTGCCAGCAAGTGTACTTTCGTTGCGGTCAAAGTTATCCATGGCTGCGTTGAGTGGACTTGATGATTCTAGGACAGGAGGAAGTGGTATTCTATTGTCACCTGCCGTAGATATTATCTGTTCTGCGATGTCTACATCAATTCTCTTAACCGTGTTGTAGCTAACACAAATGCCATGGCAATTGAGGGCAGTTACAAGCTCTTTAGATCTTGTCAGACTGTGAACTTCTTCCACGACCATGACATGAAAAGGAGTCGTTCTTTTCCATCACTCATTATGTAGTGCAGGATTTGGAAAACAACATCTCGTTTTACCTGAGAGATCAGCTTCGTCTTGAATAAAAAAGAACAGAATTCTTCCCATTTTTCTGGTGGGTTCTTCAGAAGTACATCTGTTGATAATTGAAGGTCTCTGGGTTCACAAAAGCTCCGTTCCAGGCCAAACTTGTAAACCTTAGGTCTTTTGCAAGTTCGGTTGCAACTTCTTGGACAGGTGAAACACGCCGCATAGACTCCAACAAAGACGCAGGATTACTCTTCACAGAAAATACCATTTGAGAGATTCTCTTATTGCTAGGGTATGTAAAACAGACAGCATCTCCATACAATTCAATAATTAAATGTTTTATAGCTCTGTTTGAAACTGGTACTGATAAATGTTCATTTAGTCACTCTCGGATAGAAGTTAGGCTGCATGCAGTGGTTGTAAAATCAAGTCCCAGCGCTAAAAACTGCTCCTTGAATGACTCGTCTCCAGCGGTTGTGGAATTTTCTTCTTCAAGGCTTTTTAATATTTCTTCTATATCAGCGTTATATTTGTTGAAATAATCTTTACAACAGTAGCTGTGATAGTAGAGATCAGCCGCAAAAACATCTTCCGGTTCATGCATTGCCGCTGTGTCTGTATAAACACGATCTTTAAAAAACTTGGCAGCGTTGAGTAATTTTTGGGCTATCGGCTTTTCACAAACTCTCAATAATTTGTGTACTTTCTTTTGCTTAATGGTTTTACGATCTGAACCACAAATGATACAGATATTACTAAGGGAACTCGACTTAAACCTTTTGCTGTGTCGCTCGTCGCTTGTGCTGCTGTCCATAGATATCGTTTCATGTGTTTCCGAAAAATTTACAGGGTCGGGGTTTTTTCTTTTCCATATCTCTCTGAAAACGCCTGTAGCATGACGATGAATGGTATTTGATGAGCTACTGTTCTTGCACCGTTAGTTCTAGAACTCTATTTGCTCGATTATCTCCACCTTTATCCTCTTTCGCAAGGGCAACAATATGCGCTCTGCCAGTTTCTCCACCCAATAAGTATTCAGACGAAATCTTTGTCTGGCTTAATATGCATTCATCCAGGTTGACTGATGATTTGTTGTGTGTACCCGTGGGGCAAATAGAGAGAGGTATCTCATCCTGAAATTAAATTATTTCTCAATGTATGGGATACCTATAAATCCAATGTTGCGTATTTCCATTTTCGAGGTCAAACTATAAACGTATTATGAGGGTTCTGA